GAGTCCTGCTACCCTATTTATATAGACTTTAGAATACTAATAAGCCTTTAACTAGCTTAGGAATGCCCTGCTAGTAATCCTAAGCTTAGCTTACTTCTATCCTAAGTACCCTCTAAAACTAGAGATAGACGCCTCTAATAGAGTTATTATAGCTATCCTCTTATAGGAGCATCCTAATAGGAAATAGTACCTTATATCCTTCTTTAGTTAGACCCTTACTAGTTTTAAACTTAACTAGGAAATCTATAACAAAGAATTATTTATAATAATCTGCGCCTTTAAGAAATAGCGTGCTAACCTAATAAGTACTTAGAACCTTATTAGAGTATACATGGACTATAGAGCACTAGAGTACTTTATATCTACTAAAGTCCTTAGTGCTAGGCAAGCTAGATAGCTAGAGGTTATAAGTCCCTTTAACTTCTAAATTAAGTATACTCCTAGATCTTATAACGCCTAAGTAGATATCCTAAGTAGAAGGGAATAGGATATAATTAACCTTAAGGCTACTTAAAGGGATAATTGTTTACAAGTAATAATTACCCTAGATAGGTTATATCCCTAAATTAACTCTAACTTAGCGCAAGACTACCTAGCTAAGTGTTCCTTACTAATCCTTACTTTAATTATAGTAGTTTAGAACCCTATAACTCTTAGATCCCTAGAACTTATTAAAATTCTTCTCTAAGAAAATAGGTCCTTATTCCTAATAGAAAGATTAGAGTTACCTAAGCACTATTAGATAGAAAATAGACTCCTTCTTTACTAGGATTAACTTTGCGTGCCTACTAGATTAGTCCTATATACTAGACTAATTCATAAGGCTTATAATTAAGTGTCTACTACCTACCTATTAGCTACTAAAACCTATTAGATTCTAGCCTAATATTACTACTAGAAAGGTATAGAGACTACCTATAAACGCTACATTTAGAACTATATCCTATATAGGAGAGGGCACCTAAGATAGCACTAACTCCCTAGTATGCTCTACCCCCTTCCTATCCCTAGTCTACTAATACAATACCTATGCATTAATTTTAAGGATTTTCCCTAGGATTAATATAGTTATAACTAGATTATAGTTATTATTAATCGCCTATTAAAGCAAGCTATTACTATCCCTTGCTATAAAACTATAGACGCCTAAGGTATAGCTACTTTATTTATTTAGTAGGTGTACTAATTTAGACACACTCTAGATACTATTATTTCTAATTAAGGCCCTTAGTTTATATCTAGTTTCTAGTCTAAGTTCTATTAGATTATAGGCACTAAAGTTAAGCTCTCTACTACCTACTATAAATAAACTAATAGATAAACTAAGATTATAAATAAGTATATTAATTAGAGACTAAGGCCTTTTATATCCTATTACTAAGATAACTAGAGCAACCTACTACCTATAATAGACTGTGCCTAAAGTACTCTTCTATATTTATCTATTAGTATAGCTCTATATTAGCTTCTCTTTAGTTCCTTACTAAAGTAAAGTTAGTATTAGAAACTAGAAAAGACCCTATCTACTATACTAGAGAAACTAAACTATAAGGACGCCTTATCCCTTGCTACTTAGATATATAACGCCTAGAAGATTACTAAAGAAAATATAGAAAGAGCTTAAGACTAAATACGCTCTACTACTAATTACTATTACTATCTAGTTAACTAGAAGGTTAGTAACTATATTTATCTATTTACTACTAATCTTGCTATTTTATAACCTAGCTAAAAACTATCTAAATAATAGGAAGGTCCGTTTAAGGTATTAAAATAAGTAGGAAACGCGTATTACCTCTAATTACTACCTAGTTCTAAGATCTATAATATTTTCTCTCCTAATATACTATATAAAGATCCCTAAGACCTATTACCTAGATAAGAGGCTCTAAAACCCCCTAGTACGCCTATATAAGGTGTAGAGGAATAGGAGGTAGAAGAAATCCTAGCTAGTAAATTATATTAATCTAAGCTAAAATATAAGATTAAGTAGGTTAGACATAATCCTAATCCTGTTTAGTATCCTACCTCTAACTTTATAGGTGCTCCTTATAAATTATAGTATTCTACTAATAGTATCTAAATTAGCTAGGTCCCCTACGCAGCTTACTAAAATAGATTTAAGCCTAGGAAAAGGGCAAGGAGGATTTAATATTACTTTATAATAATTATACCTAATATTAGAACTAATTTATATCCTATTTAGCTATATATTATTTATTAACTACTATCTATTACTATTATTCTTGTTACTATTTATTATTATATCCTATTTAGAACTAACCTAGAACCTTTAAGGTTCCTAGGACACTACCCCTAGGAAACCTCTTTATTCTATATCTATCTCTCTATTAGAACCTAGTTTAGACTCTATATTAGCTAAGATAGCACCTAGACTATCCTTCTTAGCTAGCTTCTAGATAACTAGTGTAGCAGGCTTAGGAGCAGGGACAGGAGTAGGGATAGGAGCTAGGACTAATTTAGACTCCTTCTTATAGAACGCCTTTATCTTAGCCTATACTAGGAAGGTTACCTCCTAATTTAGTGCTAATTCCTCCTTAAGTTTATTAATAGCCCTTATTAAGCCCCTAACTACTAAGACTATCTTATAGATACTATTCTAAAGCTAATATAAATTAGATATAGTAGTATAATAGGTAGCTATAAGGATTTTAGTAGCTTTTATACCCTTAGTCTAAGTATTAGTAATAGTAATATACTTAGCTAGGTTTTAGGTAGTTTCTCTAATAGTAGCCTTAAACTACTTAATATCCTTCTAATAAGTAACCACAGCCTCTTTATCCTTATCCCCTTTAGTAGGGTTTCCTATTAGGCTATAGTACTCTTCTAGGGCACCCCTAAGGGTAGAGTACTTTTAGCTAATAAAAGAAGGAATCTACTAGAATTAGTAAAGGAACCCTATTAGACTTAGATACTTACTAGATTATAATACTTATTCTAGGAGATATAGTACTAGCACTTCTTAGAATTCTTTAACTTAAAATTAAAATTATTAAACCTACCCCTAGCTAGAGCCCTAACTGCCCTTATATAGAGAGCGTAATAAGTAATAGGGAGAACTTCTAGTAGTACTAGTACTAGTATAGCTAAAGGTTCTAATTTAGATTAGTAACTATTTAATTATATAGATTAAATACTTACTAGATTTTAGATAGATTAGGTTAAATAATAATAAAATTAGGGATATAGGAATAAGAAAGTTAGTAGGTAGAGGGCTAGTTATATGCAAGCTAAGGATAGGGGTCTATACCCTAGGAAGAAGAAGTAAAGGTAAAGGCAGAGGTAAAGGTGGATTTATTTTGCAAAAAGCTCTTCTTTAATAAGGGATCTAAACCTAATCCTAAGGATAGGGACTATCCTTTCTTTATAGGAGGGGGTAGTGTAATAATAAGGTAGAATTACCTGCCTATTATTCTATGCTAAGTTAGGCCTAATAAAGGCCTGACTTACTAATATATATAGAGAATAGCTCGCCTATAGTTAGGATAGGTATATTCTTCTTATCCTTTTGTACAAGACCTATAGGTGTAGGAATCTTATCCTTTTCTATACAGACGCGCACTCCTATATGCCTTTAAGTTGTATAGGATACCTTTTAGATGCCCTACCTACCTAAGTCGTTACAATAAAGGCATAAAGGATTAGAGGATAGAATAGTACAATTCTAGGAGACTTTACTTTAACTCTACAATATTATCTTTTTACTTATGTTACTGCATTAAACCTATATCCTCTACTATAGGATCACTACTATTAAACCTTGCCCCTCCCACTTCTCCTCGTTTAAATAGGTTACTCTCCCTATTGGTTCAATAGGGTTAAAATAATATAAACTAGGTTATTATATAGCTTAATAATGTGTATCTAGCGCTTTTAAATATTATTACAGTCTAGTATATATATAGTCCTATTTATATATACTACTACTATTAATACTATTTACTCTCTATTAATATATATTACTACTTACTAATATTCCTTTTACTTCTATAAGTTTTAACTAAATATCCTAGCTATATTTTTCTTTTAATTAAGGTAAAAGCCCTTTTTATCTATATTATAGATATCTAATAGTAATTTATAGTATTTATATATTTGTATATATTAATATTAGAAGTATACTATATAATTTAGTATAAAATTAGCCTTATACTATATCTATTCCTTCCTATTAGTGTAATAGATTTTAAGTTTATTATAATAATTAATCAAAAGTATATTAATTAACTTTCTAAGCTTAGCTTTTTAGCTATTAATATCTAAAAACTTTATAGCATATATTTTATAAGTAATAAGCTATTAATTATAAATTCTCTAATATACTATATAAGGACTACCTTATATTGTAGGCTTAGTAATTATTATTAAATAGCTTTATTAGCTCTATTAGTAATATTTTCTAGTATTTTTTACTAAGCGTTCATAAGTTAATACTATAGTGTATAGTAACTTTAGAAATTTAAAATTATATTTCTAAGGGCTATTATTTTAAAAATATAATTACTATATTTATGAGATAAATATTAGGTAAGATATTACGTGTGAGAGGTACTAGTAAAATAGTGGTTGTGATGTTAGGGTGGCGGGTACGCGAACACGAGCATCACGCGACTGGCCTTGTCAGGTGTCACCTACCTCCACAACCAGCACCCACTACTTCACATACCATCTAACAGCAAGCCCACGACGAGTAGTGCCTGACTGGTCCATAACCAGAAGGGAGGAAATCGTCAAACACGGACCCTCACTTGTCGCCAACACGTTCGCTATTCTTTCTTGCAGCCGTCCGCCTTCGAAATCGTACTCATCGCGTACTCGCTGAACGCGAACGACGAAAGAACTCAATCAGAATATCCCCGAGTACATCGATAGTAGCTTCAGATTCACTAGGGGCGGCACCGGCTCTCATAACTGCCAGCCGAAATGTTTTGGTACAGAGTGCATTCCCTGTCAAAGGCGAAGCTAACATCTTTAGTCCTATGGACCCTCCTGTCGAAGACTCGGTTGTGCGTACTGGAGAAAACCGCTGGTCGCTCGGTTCCCTCTATGTCTGCGAGCTTGTCTACGATGTCCCTAACGACGCTATGGCAAGTTGGGAAGCCGATGGAAACACATATTGTATTCGCAAATCCTCCAAAGATGAACAGCCATCAACCGTATTAGGCGATTCAGGAAGCAATCGCATCCATCACGCGGGCACTTCAGCAGCAGTTTGGAATATTGCCGGCACATATATAAAAGCAAAATCCTGGCTACCCGGTATGGAGCTTGAGAGCGACACCATCCAATACGTTAAGCGCATTTCCTCAATTCCAATACCTGAGATTATCTTCTCCTGGGTAGATGTGGAGTGGGATCGTACCTTCCTAGTTTTGAAAGCCTTGAAAGGACGAACACTGGACCAAGTATGGGAATCACTGTCTGCTAATCGACGCATGGAAATTGCAGACAAGGTTGCACAATTTTGCAGAACACTCGCTTTGTCAACGTCAGAAATGCTAATGACTGCAAATGGAAATGCTGCTCTAGAACCCTTCTTGACCAGCCTCCCTCCAGCCTCGGAACCATCGTGGAAGCCGCGAAATTTGGGTCCTTTTTCCTCCTGCCAACTAAGGTCTTACCTCTCGAAACCTACAGTTCTCGATGATATAGATTTATTCCATTTCTATCATGCGGACCTCGGACCATCAAACGTTATAGTCACGGATGATGGCAGCATTGTTGGTATTATTGACTGGGAGTCTGCTGCATTCTATCCAAAGTTTTGGCTAGGCACGAAGCCACTTGTCTCTGTTGGGTTCACTGTTCGCGGAGCAGAAAAGCGGGCTTGGGCAGTTCTTTTAGCAAGTTCTCTTGAACGAGTGGGGTTTTCGCCGGATTTGGACAAATATGAGGCATGGAAAAAGGCAATCGGGAAATGATTTAATTTAGACCAATTTCTATACAATTCTACCCCAATCCTATACAAGGCTAGTAAAGGAAGTGTTAGCAGTACAGCGACTATGCTTGCAATGATTACCGTACCGCATGGTGCTCACTGAGCACCCCCAGTAAGAACCTGATCGCATTTCTCGCACTTATCTGCACCAGAAACGTTGTTGAATTTGCAATTGGGGCAACTTTCATAGTTCACGAGTTCGGTGGCGATTGTCTCGGCCATGGCGCAAACTTTGGAAACTAGAATATTATAAGATAAAACTCTACATCGATAAAGCTCTGCTTACGCAGAAGAGTGGTAATAACTCAGCTAGTGAGGATGAGTGGCAATAGAAGTTTGTGATGAATCTCAATACGAATGGGGAGTGACGTTCTATTTATCTGCCATCCTGTTCGATAATAGTTAGATGAAGGGGCGTGTGTGCTGAGCAACGGCGCCTGCTTGCATGTTGCATCCGCTCGAGGCTGCTACTCACCCGCGGGACTTTGCAGAGCGTACGAGCTTGTTTGGTCTAGAGATCAGCGCATCCGCATACCCACAGCGCATGTATAAGCCACAGCTGAGTGTGTGGGGCTCGAACTAGTCAAGATTTGAAGGACGATGGCTTTCTGGGCGCATGCATTTACCTAACGTAGATACGGCAACAATCATTGTAATACATGAAGACCCGCTTCTGCGTATAAGATTACCTGCATTCGTGCGCAAAATCAAATCGTCGTCAGGTGATCCTCCGTACAGCCCCGCATATTGGCTCACTCGCGGGTCAGCCGTATTGCTCGTGACCGCGATTGCAACGATTGGAGTTGATGCGGATCTACCACAGTCTCGGGGCCCAATGGGAAACGTTATTCGTCCGGGTCGCAATAAGAAAAGTGTCCTGGTCATAAGCCCTACCTTACCCGAATCGGTTAACATCCTGCAGCTAGTAAATTAGTACTGCAGGGGATGCCGCCGGATGGCCCGCGACCGGTATTGATGGTATTGGTGTATGGTATTAGTGGTATCACTATAGTAAAGGAAAAGGATTAACTTGCTGTAACTTAGTATATTAGCTATATATCTATATTTTCACCCCTTATAGAAAAATAATTGTCTAACGTAATAAGACGCGCGGCTTAGCTACAAGCCTCTTGTTGCAGGAGGGATATCAACTGGATCACGGAGCATCTTGATCCCGATTAATCCTGATCAATCCCGATCAATACCCCTGTATGACCCACTATCTGATCAACTGCTAGCTTACTGCTAAGTGCCTAACAAAAAGCAGGAGCTCTAGTAAGGAAGGTTTACTAATTATTTACCTTCTAGTAAGGGTAGCTAAAGCTCTATATATATAAGTACGATCGTAGTAGATATAATCTAATAATCTATCTCCTAAATTATTCCTAACCTTAGTAATCTAAATTTCTATAGTTATAAGCCTAGTTTGCGCTTTACCTTATTAAAGATTGTCCTATCTATTTAAGCGTATTATTTAACTTAGACACTAAGCTAGAAAGCTTTACTCTTTATACTATTTCTTAAGCAAAAGCTTACTTATTACTCTTCTACTATAAGTAACTAAATTCTAAAGGGGGATATCCTACTTACTAGATTAACTAACTAGCCTACCTAGTACATTTAATTTAGATACTATGCCCTAACTAAAGGGATCTAGGCAGAGGTAGACCCTAAGGCTCTAGATACTAAAAACTACTTTAAAAATAAACCTATTAAGCCTAATATGCTAATAGATATCGCGCTATCTAATATAATAAGCAAGTAGTACAAGCTCTAAATAGCTTAGTACTAAGCCTGCTTATTAGATTAGGTATTAAAGTTATTAGCAATCTAGAACCTCTTTATATAGGTTAATAATATAGTAGATTAAGGGATCCTTACCCTAGCCTATATAGAGCTTGTTAATTAAGGAAGAGTAACCCTCTAAGCACTTATCTAAGTGCTCTACAATAACCTAGCGCTAACTAACTTAAGCGCTGCAACACTAGCGAGATTACAGTATAAAGCTTATCTTGCTAAGGCAAGAATAAGTAGCTAAGACGCTGATTGCTAGTAGAAGGAGTAGACAATCCTGTATACGCGAGCTAAGGTATATAATGTTCCTAATATTAAAGGATAGCTTATAGTATAGGATTATCTTAAAGCTCTATCTACTAGGATCTTACTAGATTAGGGTTAAACTATATTTTAAAGGATTATTAAAAAGTTAGTAATAGGAGAGCTAACTTACAACCTCCTATAGGTTACTAAGATCTATTTATTACTGCTCTAAGAGAATAATATAAGATTAAGCTCTAAGGGTGCTAGAGTGTTTGCAACAATAGGAGCTCTACCTTCTAACTAACCTAAGAAGGAGTCTTTATATCTATGCAGTAGATCTTACCTATAGAAACCTCCTAAATACAAAAATATTATTAAAGCTTGGATTAATACAGGTAACAAGCTTACTACTACTTAACAATTAGAGATTAAGAAAAAGATTAATAGGAATCTAAAATTTAAAGAGTTAAGAAAAACTCTAATTAAGTCCTATCCTATTAATTAAGATTATAGTGGTAAGGCAAAAGAAAACGCGATTACCTATCTAGGTAGTATCTAGGCGGCACTAATTAACCCTATGTTAATAGTAGAGAAAACAAACAGGATCTATTTAACCATAGACTTTGAAGCTTACGCTCTATTAAAGAGCACTATCTTTAACAACAGGGGTGCAGTGCACCTAGTTAATAATATAAGCTACCTAGAAGAAAGCTTGTTTAGATTAGTTAAATATAAGACAGTTAAAGCAGGAACTTAAGCTTTTCTAATCTTAGGCAGAGGGACTAGAGTAATCCCTAATACTCTTAATAGACTAAGAGGTCCAAAAATAGAAGATTTAGTGCTCACTAACGTGGTGTTAGTAGAAGGTTTTTATGTGAATATTATATTAGAAGCTTAATTGCTTAAAGCAGGAGTTTGGTTCCTTAGGCTAGATGCTACCTTGCAGTTTAGATTATTAGAAAAGAGCGTTGTATTAGCTAAGTTACTACGCAAGTTTAACTTAACTTTCCTAGAATATAAGCCCTCTACCCCTTATTAAATAATCTAAAGTATAGTGCCTAAACAACCCTAACAATCCTAGACGACTTACCTAAGACACGATAGTAAGGAGCTTTAGTACTAACAATTAGGCTATTTAGGACCTAAGGCGCTTAAAGCTCTAGTTAAGTTAGTAATAAATATTAGGATTAAAGGAACTCCTAGGAGCAAATGCGAGCACTACGCTATTACACATGCCTAATAGGTTATATTAAGACAACTAAGGGAAAGATTACTACGTCTATACTACTAGGTATTATAGGATCTATTTAATATACTAACAGGTATAGCTTATAAGTAATAGATCTTAGTATTAAAGTGCAACTACTTAGGAAAGCTTTATACCTATTGTGCCGTGGTGAGGGATGTATAGGAGGAAAACAAGGCTTAGCCTAAAAGGTTAGGCGGATTAAATGGTATAAAGGCATGAAGGATCAGAGGATAGGACAACAACAACTCCTAGGTACTTCACTTTAACTCTACAATATCATCTTTTCACTCATGTTTCTGCATTAAACCCATATCCTCCACTATAGGATCACTACTATTAAACCTTGCCCCTCCTACTTCTCCTTATTTAAATAGGTTACTCTCCCTATTAGTTTAAATGGCGAAGCCCAAGGGGAACTTATCTTATCTTAGTAAAGGGGAGGGCCTAGTAGCATGCAACCAAGAGGACGTTCCTCTAAGTATAAGGAGGGCAGAGAAAAATTAAAAAATAGGTAGTGTTAATAATTAATATTATTAAGGCTAAAATAGTAGGCCTATATTAGGACGTGGCTAACACGCGTTAGTAGGGATAGAGTAATAACACTAAGAGGCTAACCAGAAAATATTAGAAACACCAGAACAACTAGAACAACTAGAACTAGAACGACTAGAACTAGAATTAGAAATAGAATAACTAGAACAACTAGAATAACCAGAATAACTAGAACTAGAATAACCAGAACGACTAGAATAACTAGAACCAGAACGACTAGAATAACCAGAACTAGAACAACTAGAATAACTAGAACTAGAACAACTAGAATAACTAGAACTAGAACAACTAGAATAACTAGAACTAGAACAACTAGAACTATTAGAATAATTAGAACTACAAGAAGCATTAGCAATACTAGAAGTGCTAGAACACCTAGAATATTGCTACCAATAGAAAAGCGATAGTAAAGGCTACAGGATAGTGTGCGCTGTTAGCAGGAAAATAGGGCTAGGCTAAAGTTGCTAACGCAACAAGAATCCACTAAAAACAAATACAAGTGCTAGCACTATTTAGGAAGGGTGTTAGGGACATAGCTACTAAGGAAGAGGAGGCAGTCTATAAAAGTAAGAGATAGGAAAGGGGGGAAGTAATATAAGCAAGCAGATGCCAACTTATCTAATAATTTTAATTAACATTATAGGTTTATACACCTCCTTTAACGTTTACAGAAGCCCACTACCTTAACTAAGCCTATCCTTTTTGCTAGGAATAATGCCTAGAGAAAGCGACATTACCCTAGGGTTAACTAAAATAGAAACTTCTAGACCCCTAAGAAGAGTCCTTGTCCCTATAAGGCCTAGGAAAACTAACTTTTAGTTCTAGGGGAGGGAGGTTACAGAATTCCTAGATAACTATAACCGCTAGGCAGAAAATAGGGGGCTAGGCAAAGTAGATTAGCTAAAAATTCTGCTAGACTTTTGTAATGCTATATGCAGAACATTTGTAAAGAAGCTTAGACCCTACTAGAAGCAAGACTAGGAGGAGCTATAGGAAGCTATAAAGGAGCACTAGAGGGACTAGGATACAGCCTAAAGGATAGGTACCTAAACCTTCCTAGATGCGTATATACAAGAAGCCTCTAGGAACTTCCTAGGTCTCTTAAACTACTATACTAATTTTATAGTGTATAGCAATACCTG